AGAGAGAGAGAGAGAGAATATTTATTTATTTTTTAGTTTTTGGCGGACACAACATCTTTGTTTGTATGTGGTACTGAGGATTGAACCCGGGCTGCACGCATGCCAGGCGAGCGCGCTACCGCTTGAGCCACATCCCCAGCCCCCGAATAACTGTGATTTTATTGGAGATTCATCTCTGTATTTTCCTGGATGTTCATATGGGTGATGATGGCTCCATAGACCTCTCTGGGACTTTTCATCTCAATACCTGTCAGATCTAAGAATGCTTCAAGTCTACCCTAAGTCCCTCAATTTAGGGAATAAACCTGTGGTTTGATCATCATGGTCATATACTGACCACACCCTCTGGTCTCCAGTTGACTGGGGGAAAAATGCAGGTTCTCAGGCCCCACAGACAACAGTTCAAGTCATGGCTTCTAATGGAGTGACCTTGGACAAGCCACCTCCCTCTCCAAGTGCAGCTTCCTTGACTGTAAAATGGGGTTAACAATGGCAGCCATGTAGTGGAATGCATGAAGACATTTAAAATACCAGGTCCAGATGCACAGTAGGACAACCAGGCTGCATCTCCCTCCCTCCAAGCTCAGCTGACTTGGCCCCATCAGTACACTGTGTTAAGGGGTAATTTTACCTCTCAAGGTCTCATAGGGAAACTGAGGCCCCCAATAGAAGATACTTGCCCCAACCAGGCTGGTGGCATATGGACTGGGCTCATATCAGAGGAAGCAGCTGGGAACTGGGAAGGATATGCCGCTAGGAGATCTCCCACACCAGGCAGGTAGGACAGCTTGTTGCCCTCCACATCCTCCGCGTACATGCTGTCGAAGAGGTAGGAGTCATCCAGGTGCTCAACGAATGCCATCTGTGGGCAGAAACACCTGGGCATGGTAACCCAGAGTGAGGTCCCCCGGCTCCTCTCAAAGGCACAGCCAGGGCCCCCTGGGTAGGGGCCTATGCTAGGCACTGGGACTGGCAGACACATCACGGAGGTAGGGATGCTGCCCTTGGGCTGCATCTTCCTCCTCAGAAGGCCGGGGGAAGGACCATGTGGAGAGGCAGAGGATACACCCGGGGGTGGGAAGACCAAGTTGCAGAGGGGACATCAGGTCCTGTAGATGAAGCATGATTCACATGATTTCAAGTTCAAAGCTGGGGATCCCTGGGGATCTTGGTTCAGTGTGACTGGTGGGCTTTCAAGGCATCTCTGAGCTAGGTCAAGGTTGAGCTGCCCTCTCCAGTAGGTACCTTGTGTTCCTCCAGCTTCATCCGCCGGGCCTGCTCTTCCTCCTGCTTGATCTGCATCTGGTTTTCCCGGTGCTTCATCTCATCAATGCTGTACTGGTGCTTCATCTCCGCCATCTTTTTCTGATCAGGGAATGAGAAATAGCATTGTTACCAGAAGACTTTCATGACCTCTGCCATCCTCTGAGGCCTCCCAAGCATGGGATCCCGTGGGTAGGTTGCTTTCATGAAGGTGGGAAAGCTTTGAGGTCTTGTGGATGAGAATGATTTGTCATTTCCTTATGACCCTTTCCAGATATCCTGAGTCTAAGGGGAATCAGGGAACTGGGAATTCACAGAGCTGGGAGGCACTCTAAGGGCCATGTGCTCATCCCTTGTCAGCCTGAACTGCTCCTGGCATGCACCAGAGAGCACCAGAGGCTGTCCTCCTGCCGAGTCCTACAGTGTCAAGAGTCTAGAGCTTGGGGTGGGCTGTAGCTGGCCCAGATCTGACAGAATCATGAACAGGAGATTCAGATGCCCCTGGTTTGTGGAATTTTGCTTTCATGACCTTTTGCTCACTATTTATCTGGATGGTTCTAGACAGGTCTCTGAACTGTGGAAGGAGCCTTGGTTTGTTCAAGGTGCAATGGGGACAAGCAGGGAATTTCTGATGACTCAGGAGAAGATACCTGGGAAGGATCTTTGACCTTAAAGTGCTAGTCTGTCCTGTATTTGTTTGTTTGTTTAAATATTTTTTTAGTTGTTGATAGACCTTTATTTTTATTTATTTTTATGCGGTGCTAAGAATCAAACTCAGTGCCTCATATGTGCCAGGCAAGTGCCTTATTGTTGAGCCCCAGTCCAGCTCCTGTCCTATGTTTTTATAATAGGCAAAACATACCCAAGTGGGACTTGGGCCTATTCCAAGCTGCATTTCAAATTATTGTCTAAATGAGAAAAATAAGACTTAAAGAGTCTTAGAGTTCAAAATCCTAAATCTTGTACTGTTATAGGACAAAAGAAAACAAGCCCATTGGTTGGCTACATATCACAGTGATAGAGTGCTTGCCTAACTGTTCCATGCCCAGTAAAACACACACACACACACACACACACACACACACACTCTCTCTCTCTCTTTCTCTCTCTCTCACACACACTCACAAAGGAGAGCGAGCTAACCCGTGGTCTGTGGAGGGACAGCTCTCTGATCCCATGTCATTTCTGGGAGCATCCAGAGAAAGTTCTGGTAAGTGGAGAACATTGCTCTTAGAAGATAGCTTATCCCCTGGGGACTGGACTTTGCCCAATGACCAGATTGCAGAGGGTCAGGGTTGAGAAGGGGCCAGCCCTCCTCCCTGCTTTGGATGGCCTTTTCTGGGTGTCCCCAGAATCACCTCAGTATCCCCAAACACAGGTTCCTTTCTTCCAGAAAAAAACATCAGCTTTTGGTGAGAAGGAGCAGGCAGATCAACAACCTTTGATCTCCCTGGCATCTAGCATGGAGGGACTTCCTGGTTCTGCCACCCAACAAAATACCCGTAAACAGACCACACTTCACAGAGTGAAAGGAGACCCACTCATGGCAGTGGGGTGGATAGGGGCTGTAGTGGACAGAGGAGAGATCCTCCCTGGTAGGGCTAGTCCAGCATAGGGACTTCAGGCCAACACCTGGGGCCAACTCCCAGCTTGACCACTGCTGGCCATGAGACCCCAGGCAGGCTACCTCACGTGTGTGTCAGCAGCTGATAGAAGCTGGGGAGCAGAGCAGGCCCCCCCCTCACAGTTTTTATGAAAACAACAAGAAAAAATGCCAAGTGCTTGGCATGCAAAGGTTGAATGACAGTCGGCAATTAGCACTGCTCTGGGAGTCCACACAGACCTGAGGTGACCCTGGCAGATGTAATCACCAAGTCAGGCATGGTGATACACGCCTGAATTCCAGCAGCTCTGGAGGCTGAGACAGGAGGATGTTGAGTTCAAAGCCAGCCTCAGCAATGGTGAGGCACTAAGCAACTCAGTGAGACCTTGTCTCTAAATAAAATAAAAAATAGGGCTGGGGATGTGGCTCAGCGGTAGAGTGCTTGCCTCGCATGTGCAAGATCCTGGGTTCGATCCTCAGCACCACATAAAAAAATAAATAAATAAGTGAAATAAAGGTTTTGTGTCCAACTACAACTAAAAAATAAATTAAAAAAAAATAGGACTGGGAGCTGGGGTTGTGGCTCAGGGGTAGAGCACTTGCCTAGCACGTGCGAGGCCCTGGGTTCGATCCTTGGCACCACATAAAAATAAATAAATAGCATAAAGATATTATGTCCAACTACAGCTAAAAAATAAATATAAAAAAATAGGGGACTGGGGATGTAGCTCAGTGGTTGAGTGCCCCGAGTTCAATCCCTGGTACCCCCCAAATATATATATATATATAAAATTGCTAACCCTCCCCTGAAAAACAGACAAGGTCTGTCAGGTGGCCTTAGGGCAATGTATGGAGAAGGCCCAGTTGCCAGGACACTTGGGAAACAGCACCCAGGAGTGTGTTGCTGGATTGCTCTGATAGAGATAGGTAAGGAGGCTTAGCAAGAGGGGACTGCCTCTTCTCTTCCTAGGTGTGGACAGGGGAAGACAGCCTTCACTGCCCTGTGAAACTTGGTCTCCTGAAGACTTGTCTCACAGAGCTGGGAGACAGAAAGGGAGAGACTTGCCGCGTGGTCATCAATGCGCCGGAAGTCCAGGTACACAAGATCAGGAAGGTAGGCATAGATGAACATTTTGTAATCCTCTGCCTCGGCAATAGGGTTCCCAGACAGGTTGAGTGTCCGCAGGCACTTGAACTTCCGCAGGTAAATGAGCTGGGGAAAAAAGACACCCATCCCCCTTTGAGCTGCCAGAGAGCTGAAAGCATTATCTGGTAGCATCTCTCCTTGGAACTCTTTTAGGGTGTACTGCCTGGCATAGCACCTCTCTGCATGGACAGGCAAGGAGGGGCTGGGGCTTCTGGTTCAAATCTTCGGTGAGGCTTTCCAAAGTATCAGTCAACTGGAGCTCCAATCCTAGCTCTGGGACTTAGAACTAAGGTACCTAATACCTGGGAGCCTCAATTTCCTCATCTACAAAAATGGACATAAAGATATTATATGTTATAGGTCTTGTAAAGAACAAACAAAATAAGCTGTGAAAAGCATTCTTAAGAGTGCCTGACACCTACTCAATAAAGGGCAGTTCTAGTTGGGTGTGGTGGGCATGCCTGTAATCCTATCAGCTTGGGAGGCTGAGGCAGGAGGATTGCAAGTTCAAAGCCAGCCTCAGCAATTTATTGAGACCCTATCTCAAAATAAAATATTTTTTAAAAAGGGCTGGAGACGTGGCTCAGTGGTTAAGCATCCCTGGGTTGAATCCCTGGTACCCCCCCCCAAAAAAAGAGGCAGTTATAGTTAACACTATTAGCGGTCATTCAGAATAGTGAGTGCCTTTTTTGACTGCTAAGTCTTGTGAAAGGTCCAAATCTGTTAAATTAAATGTAATGGTTAGCCTCACAAGCACTGGATAACAAACAATGAGTGGAACATCTCCATTTCCTATACCCTAGTTTGAGTAAAATGGGGGAAAAGTCAGAGGATACTTTATGTGATAGCATCATCTGAACATCTAGATGCTGTGCTATGCAAAACATAGAAAAGAAAGCAGTCAACTGTGTTTCTCTGAATGAATTTCCTTCAGTCATTTATTTGTTCTTTTATTTAATAAACAAGATTAAGCACTTAGCAAGCCTCTGGCAGGTACCATAGTAGCCCTGCAGAACAGGAATAAGGCCCATGGGTCCTTGGCCCCAATAGCAAATACAATTTATGTGTGGGTGAAAATATTTTTTAAAAATACAATCATTAAGGTTTGGGGCAAATGCTATAAGGACTGTAAAGATGGCACAATGAGAGAAAATAACAGTGAGAGGCCTTTTTCAGTCAGGGAGCTCAGAGGTCTCTCCGGGGAGATGACATTTAAGCTGAGATCAAGGGAAGCACCTTCCCAGAAGCCAAAACAGTATAAGCAAAGGACCTGAGGCAGCAGAGAACTTGGCACGTACCAGGAACTAAGCAGAGGCCAGGGTGGCTGCAGAATGTTGGGAAGGGGCTAGAGGAAAGGATGTGAGATAAGACTGACAATAAGATCAGAGCCTGGTTCATGTAAGACCACAGGCTGTGAGCAATGAGATTTTGTTGAGGATAATGAAGTCATTGATGTTTTAAATGCGTATATGGGAAGATAGGATCTGATTTAATGTTTTTTGTTTGTTTTTCAGTACTAGGGATAGAACCCAGGGCCTTGCACGTGGTAGGCAAGTGCTCTACCACTGAGCTGCATCTCCAGCCCCCTTTATATTTCATGCTGAGACAGGGTCTCACTAAGCTGCCCGGGCTGGCCTCGAACTTGGAATCCTCCCACCTCTGCTTTCTGAATAGTTAGGATTATCGGTGTGCACACTTGGCCCTGGCTCTGGTTTAATTTTTAAGAGATCTCCCAAATGAGATTCCATTTTTCATGTTTCAGATTAGCAAAGAGAAAAGTGTGGTAACAAAATGTGTTGTAGGTGGTGAGAGGGAACAGGTCACACCGTCATTGCTGGTGGGTCTGTAAATGATTCCACTTCTATAGAGGGCAATTTGGCAAAGATTCATCCAAATTTAAAATGCATGGTCCCTCTGACCCAGCAATTCCCCTCTAGGAGTTTATCTTACAGATGAACTGATCCAGATATAAAGCAACTCTGCTCAAGGACATTCCCTACCTAAGGGCTTCCAGTACAGTACACATGTATTGGCACCAGGTTGAAAACAACCTTGACATTCACATTTAGGGGACTGGAAAAATACATCACATCATGTCTGAGCAATGTAATGATACGGCAGAGAGAGGGAAATGATGACTCAGGAGAAGAGGGGCCAATTGAAGCCATGTATGTGAAGGTCAGTTGGGCAGACTTGACAATCATGCACAACGCTTCAACACAAGATGCCTGGAGAGACTGGTGCAATTTAGAAGTAGGTGTGGCCCCAGAAGGAGAAGCAAGGACCAAAGCCAGGAGTGAGAGGCTCTTCCCCGAGTTCTGCTTAAATGTCTGTGTTTTTAATGCAATAAGCAGGTACTAAAAATAAGCCAAGTAAACAAATAAATGACAAAAGAGCAGATAGAACCGATAAGGGCTAAAGAGAAAGATGCTCAGGGTTAGAAACTAATAATACCTGAGAGTGTCAGTCAGGACTTTCTGGATCAAGTTCAAAACACCTTATTAGGTAAAGAGGATCCAGGGTCCCCAAGGACCCAGGATGCAGCCAGGCCTTAGGAACTTCTGGTCTAGATACCTCAGCAGGCCCTGGCAGCTCCTCCCCATGGACCTTCTGTTTCCCTTTTTCTCTCCTGGGGAGCAGCTACACCTGCTTCTTGAATATTCACAAAGGGATCTAGTACCTGGCACCCACTGGGATAGGGTGACGGGATTTCTTCCTGACCAGGGCCTGCTGAGCAGGATAGAATACCCTGGTCAAGGAAGGGAGTGAGGCATCCACAGAAGGGCTGGGACCTGTCCACCTCCATTCCCTCTGCACCCTTTAACAGTGTGCCTGATTCTTTAGAGGGACAGGGTCTCAGGCTCTGTTATGGTTTAGATGCGAAGTGTCCCCAAAAAGCTCATATGTGAGACAATGCAAGAAAGCTTAGAGGTGACATGATTAGGTTATGAGAGTCTTAACCCAATCAGTGTGTTCGTGCACCGATAGGGATTAACTGGCTGGTAACTGTAGGCAGGCAGGGTGTGGGTATAAGAGGTGGGTCTCTGGGGGCTTGCCTTAGGGTATATATATTTTTGTCTTTGTTGAGCAGAGCTTCCCTGTTCCCAGCTGTTTCCCTCTGCTACATACTTGGGCGGTGAAGTTCTGTTTCACTTCCCACCCTAAGGAATGGAGCTGGCCATTTGTGGTTGGGACCTCTGAAACCATGAATCCCAAATAAACTTTTCCTCCCTAAAATTGTTCTTGTCAGGTCTTTTTGGTCATAGCAGCAAAAAAAAAGCTGACTAAAGTAGACATTGTAAGTCTACAATGTCCAAGGGCTAACGAGTTGGAAGGGATTCATTCATACGGAGCCCTGGGCTGTAGGACATACCAAGATAGAAACAGCTGCTAAATGCTCAGAGTTTCAAGCAGCAGGGTTTGGGGCAGGGGATGCAAACCAGCAGTACAGCACTTGCACAGCCTGTGTGAATCTTTGGGTTTGACCCCAAGCATGTGGGTGGGGGGAAGGCCTGGGGCTGTTTGGGGGGTTAATCAGCAACCTGAAAATTCCTGAATAAGGATCATTTTCTATACTTAATATGTGTCAGATCCTGCATATAATACTCTCTAATTGATTCCATCTTCACACAGGGGATTGGCAGCACTGAGATTTGAACACAGACTAAGTCTCAGTCCCGGCTCTATTAACCTGCACCCTCCATGCCTCACCCTGCCATCCCATTGGCCAGCATTTGGGTTTCCTGCACTTACAGAGCAGAGGGCAGGCTGGATAGTCAGGACCCAAACCTTGAGAAGGGCACTGGTTGGATTTAGATCCTCCTGTGTGGTGTGCGGGACAAACTTTTGAGACTGTACCAGAACTGTAGGGTCTGGCTTTGCTGGGCAGACTTGCACATCCATCTCAGGCCATTCACCTTGGTCACCCAATCTGGCCATGCCCCAGCTGTGATACTGGTGTGAGGATAGGTGTAGGGCCTAAGATGTCCCAATTAGACTGAAAGGACACCAGCTTGAGATTTCTCAAGCTCTCTGGCTAAACAAGGAAGCCTATGACCTTGACTGCAGCAATGAGAGGCAGCCTTGGGGAGACGCTGAGGACAGCAGAGCCCAGAGGTGGAAGGAACCTACATCCTTGAAACCCCGTTGACAAACTCCCCGCTTTGCAGTGCAAATGATCATGTCACCAAATGCCCTTGTTTGTGATGGCTGACCTATGACTTCGGCTGCAGCTGTGACACTCTTGTTGACAGCACCCATCTCATCATTTGCTTTCTGAGTCAGAGAGGTCTCTGAAGTCACAAGCCAGCTCAGGAGCCAGACAGGGAGGAAGCTAATCTCTGGGGCAACCCTCACTGTTGAGGGGTGGCACTGCAGATCAGTGTCTAAGGCTTCAGCTCTTAGGTGCTCACTTCTGGGAAGCACTCTGGCTCTTTCTAAGACCCAGCAGAATTGAGCCCCCATCACCTGCTGCAGCAACCTCAGTGACACCCCCCACATTCACTCTAGCTTCCTACAGTCACCTCATTCATTCTAGATCCCCAAGTCACTTCACAAACTATCTGTAACTGAATCTCTGCCTTGGTTCCATTTTTAGCCTATCTGAGACAAACCTTTGTTACCTGCAGGCCAAATGTGCTTTCTGGCGGCACCATCTTGCACTAACCCATTCACATGATCTCCTTCAAGTCCACTTCAAGATGGCAGGTTCCCTTCCTAAACAGACCTGAACTGAACATACCACAGCAAAAAGTCCTGCACTGCTCCTGATGCTTATCTTGATATTCCTGTCTGCAGTGAGGCCCCAGCTCCCAGGCTCAGCCCCCACCTGCACACACCCTTGACTTCTAGGGACCCTGGGCTCCCCAGGCAGGTAGCCTTTCCTGTGCACCCTGCAGGCAGGCAGGCTTTCCTGACACACCTCCAGGCATTTGCTCATGCTATCCCCTTCTTCTGAGATGCTCTTCCCTTTGTTGGATGGAAAATTCTTATCATTCTCTTTCAGTGAATCTGCATCCAGTTACCTCTCATCCCTTGTTGCTTTCCCAGGAAGGATGTCAGCCATGACAGTTCATTCATTAAAAACCTGCTCTAGCCTAAACCCGAGCCAAGTGCTTCATGTTGATTCTTATTTGATTCTCATGAGAGCCTGGGCAGGTGGGCTATGATCACTCTCCACGTGACAGGCAAGGAAACAGGCATGGAAAGCTTGTGCCTTACTGGGTTTAGATCTTCCTGTCTGGCATGCACTAGGAACTGCCAAGACTACATCACCTCCTGGGTTTGGTCTTGCTGAATTCCCTTAAATATGGGTAACAACTTGGGCACTTGACCTACCCCAGGCCATGCATTTAAGCCACTCAAGTGTACAGCTGAGATGTGAACCCAGGCCATCAGACTGACTCAAGGAGAAAAAGAAGACTTGGAAGGATTCTGGACAGCTGCCAGGTTTGGTGGCCAGGCTGGAGAAGCAGATCAGGGACTGTCTTGTAAGGTCATTATTGGTCACCTCTGACACAGGACCCTTGTGGCTACTGCTAGGGTCTCATCCCCAGCCCACTGCTGTAAACCCATTGTAGGGTATGCTCAGGGCAGATGACCAATGTCCAGGGTTACACAGGCACATTCCTGGCACTGTAGTTTATCCTCCCACTTCCCAGAGGTCTTGTTTTATTGCTCCTAGCTTCTTGTCACCTATGTCTTAATTATGTGGGTATGTGGGCTAGTTGTCCTGAAGGGACCACGTCTTGTACATCTCTGTACCCACTGAGCACAGGACAGTTGGCCGCTATCGAGTAGGTGCTTGGCAAATGTTTAAGATAATATAAGACCTCAGAAAGTGACTTCACTGAAGCAGAGATTGCAAATTAGTATCCAGAGATGTGTTTTGTTGGGTTAAACATGATATTTAAACATTATGGCATCCCTGGTGGAATAACCTGGATGTCTGGTCTTTCCAGGCAAAGGGAGAAATCTGGAACACTTAGCCTGTACTCCCCCGACCATTCCCAGCCTGAGTCCTGCAGGTGCAAGTGAGCATGAGTCCCTATTTCTGGCCACTCACGTTCATCATGTTGTCAATCTGGTTGTTGCCTAGAGACAGCACCTGCAGCTTGACCAGAGCATCCAGGGAGTCAATCTTGGAGATCCGGTTGTTGAACAAGCTTAGGTCCTCTAGATTCACCAGTGTGTCTAGCCCCTCAATGGCCTCGATGTTGTTGAAGGACAGATCTGGGAAGGGAAGAGGATTCTGAGGGTGTGTTGCCTGAGCTAGGGAGGAACTGTCCTCAGATAGAACCACAGGGGCTACTGAGTGCCAGGAACTGACTCACCATCTTCCACCATATGGTTCTAGAAGCCTGGTATGGATTCTTCCCTGCAGCTGCATGTATTTACCACCCTCCCCAGTTCTGCTGATCGTCCTCTGGGGGATACATCTCTGCTCTGACATAGTTCTGGGATAAACTCTGCTAATTATCAGAATGATAATTAAATAAGTATAAAGAACGATACCTTGGGGTCAGGGGTGCACAGTTGTGGGTGGCCCTTCCCTGACACCTGTAGGCATTTTAGCAAGTCTACCTCCTGTCTTGCTAAAGTGTCCATCCTCTGACAACAGGCCTGAAAGGCAGCTTGGGATTTTTGGGCCAAGAGACCTGGATCTGAGAGTCAGAGACCTGGCTGTGATCTGCTTCCACTGCCTATGGCATGACTCAGTCAAGCCAGCCTCTCTGAGCTTCAGTGGCTGCTTCTGTGAAATGGCACCATAATCATTGCCTATGCAATTGCTGTAGCTCCAATGGTCAGCACAAATAGGTCTGAGAATAGTTTACAAATTGGGATATGCACTGATGCCCCAGGTTGCCCTTGTTAGGGAATGTGGATTTGGGGGCCAGACAGTAGTGGGCAAGTCCCTCCTCTTCCAGTTCTTGGTTGTGTAGCTCTGGGCAAGTGCCTTGACCTCCTGAGCTTTGGCTCCTCTTCTGCAGATAATAATAGACACCCATCTCCTAGGACTGTTGTTGGGTATCTACCTGCATCATACCAGATATAAGGGGGCTCCTAAGAAGCCAGCAGTTGTACACAGTTCATCAAAACCCCCTGTGGCCTTGGCAGTGAGGGGCCAGAGCTCTAGGATCAGACAGAACTGGGCTGGGAACCTGATGTCCCCACTTGTTCACTGTGACCTCAGTTTGCTCATCTCTGTGATGGGAACACCGTGTGGAGTGAAAGGCCTTAGGGAAAATGCACAAGCCCACACTTGAGAACTCTTCACACTTCTGCCACTATCACTTGGTCATTTGGCCCTTCTAGGCAAGTTATCTGCCCACCTGTATTTAGATTAAGTGGGAGTCCACAGCTGTCCTCTGTGCTCCACCCAAACTAAGGTTAAGCAGGTGGGTGCAGAACATTCTGTCCTGATGTGGCCAAGCACTTCTTTGTCAATACTTTGCCCAGCATAAGCCTCAGGCTTTTAAAAAATAGCTGCTTTCTGCTGTGCCTAAGCTGATGAAAGGTCAGCAGCTGAGTGTCACCCTGATTGTCTCCTGGGGAGGCGATAACCTTGGCAAGGTGTCACCTTTGTCTAACCAGGGTAGACACATACACAGGCAAGGGCCTTACCCAGCCAGACCAGGTGTACGAGGTTCTCCAGGCCCTCGATCTTCTCGATGATGTTGTTGTCCAGTTGCAGCTTTCTCAAGTTTTCAAACTGCCAGAGATTGTCGATGTGGAGGATGTCTGAAAAGGTGGAGGACGGTGCAGCTTTGGGTTAGGGTTTGGTGCCAGCACACTAGGGGACTGAGACAAATCCCTTGCCCTAATCTGGAGTCTGCAGGTATCCGGAAGGTGTGGGCTGAACATCAAGGACCACTGTCTCCCTGTCAGTGCTTAGTGTTGGTGAGGAACAGGACTGTCACTCAGGGTCACAGGAGGACCTAATAGGTCCACTGGGGATGGGGCTAAGCAGGGGTCAGTTGGACCCGGCCAGCGCAGGAGATTCTCTCACACTGTCTCTGGGTCAGGGTGGGGGCTCCCCCAGGAGGCTGGTCCCCACCTTGGAACTCAGGCCAAATCAGGAGCACAAGTGGGCTTTCCACAGTGTGACCAATAGAATCAAAGCACGGCTCTATTGGTGGGAGGATTAATCTCTATTGGTGGGAAGATTAATCAATCATTTCTGACTTTTGGGGGGTCATTTGGCTAAAAATACTGAAATATTTAATGTCTATGCCCTTTGCCCTTCAATTTTCCTGGAATCTGTCTCCCAAGACACACCAGAGAAATGCTCATGGGCACGCAAGAAGCAGAAAAATAGAGGAGAACCCCCAATTGTCCCCCTAAAACAGAGGCATACCCCAGTATTACAGAAGTGCTGGGACCCCACAGTCCCTGAAGACCACCCACCCCAGCTCCGCAGCCCACTTATTCCTTTTGCTGTGTCAGCCAGAGTTTGGTTTCTGTCCCTGACAGCCAGAAGAGGTCTGAGAAGCATATACATATAAACAAGTTGATATTCTATATGTGAAATTCTAGAGACTAATCTTGTTCTCCTCCTGCTTTTCCCAGAAGCTACATATAACTCTGTTTATACATCCCTTTTTTCTATATTTGCTTTTGCAGTGCTTTCCAATTATAAGATTACAATATGCTCATTTAAAGAAGTAAAATAATGTAGACATAAGGGTATTTTTTTTTTTAAGTATCTAGGGATACTCTAACAGGGCTGGGAATAATACATTCTGGGAATGCCCAGAATAGTAGAGGCCCTGGGTTCACTCCTCAGTATCACAAAAAATAAAAATTATATAATTAAAAAATACCAATAGTCGCACATTTGGGTGGCAGTTTCAATATTTGTTCATAGAGGCAGGGCCTACTGGTGCCAGGTCTTGGAGGGGTGGCCAGGACCCTCTGACTCAGGGCTGCGAGGGCCCACCTGTCCCCTGGAGCTGCACTGCTCCCTTCAGCCCCTCCCGTGGGTCCCATGGCTGGACAACACTGGAACCTGTCCTTCAGCTGCCTGTTTGGGGCCAGATTTCCCTGACTGCTATCAATCTCCATCCCCACCTGTATTTCCGGGTGGGACCCAGTTCTGCTCCAGGCTCCCAGCTGCTTCCCATCCTCAGTCAGGATTTTCCAGGCACCTGCTCTAGCCCTGATTTTGGACTCACAGCTGCCCACCCCCATTTTGCCCTTGGCCATGGTGGTTTCCTGCACAGCCACTTCTTCCGGGTGGCTCCTGCACATCTGGGTGCCCTGCCACAAGCACCTGTGCAGACATTTGTCTGGGTATCGGTAGTTCATGTGGAAAAGCCAAAATGACACAGTGAACCAGGCTGTGTTCGGCAGTTGGCTCCAAGTGAGTTACTGGCATGCTGGGGTTGCCACTGAAGCCAGTTTAATCTTTAACACAGACCGTGGATCCATCATCATCATTCCCTGGGCCACAGTAGTGACCATCTCACTAGATTCCTGCTTTTGGCCCTGCAGCCAGCCAGGTCCTGTTCTGTCCTGTGAGAACACAAGTACCATCCTGTCCTGCTTCAGATCGGGACTCTCCCACCTCTCTCACTGTAAAAGCGAAATACTTTCCACTGGCCCCAAGGCCAACTCCAGCTGCCCCCAGACCTCTCTGACTGTCTCCACAGGGTTTCCTTAGCAGGCCTGCTCAGGCTTGCTCTGGCTGTTCCCCTTGCCTCACACACTTTTGCTAATGGATCTCCCTCACCTCCTTCAAGTCTGGGCTCAATTGTCACCTTGGCAAGGCCTCTGATCACCCAGAAAGTACTGCACCCCATCCTGTTTCTTTTTTACCATAGCACACATTGCCTTTAACATATATTTTCCTTGTTATACTTATTTGTTTCCCCCACTTGAATGTCAACTCCATGAAGATAAGGCTCTTTGTCCTTTGGGCTCCCAGCTGAAACCTGGTGCCTAGAATAGTACCTGGGACATAACAGGCACTTGCTCAATATCGGCTGAATGAAACTTAGATGGGGAAGCAGGAAGCAAAAGCAAGGCAGTCAGGTGCTAAGGCCTAATCCTGCCACAGGCCTTCTACATCTTTTCCTCCTCTCAGGCCTTCCCAGCTCTGGGGAGTCATCCTTGGAGGTCACACCCTGGGAGGCCTGTGGGATTTGTGAACCTAGCCCTGGCAGGACCTGTCTTGCCCACTGCTGTGTCCCCAGGGTTTGGTGCAGGGCCCTGCTGAGGCAATGTCTCAATAACTTCTTGTTGACTGGTTGTCTGGCCAGCCCCATGGCAGAGAAAGAATGTGAATCCTGCAAGGTCACTCTACTGTGGCCTCACCTGCACAAAACACAGGGGTCTCGGGATCCTGGCCCACCTCTCCCCTTCCTCTTGCATCTCCTCTGTGCTGACTCCCTGGGCCACGGCTTCCTGGGACATGGCTTGCTGGCCTTCCAGCATAGTCTGGGCAGTGTGCATGTCTTGCCTCACTTGTTCCCAGCCAGCACTTGGGAAAGGGAGGACAGGCACCCCATTTCACAGATGAGGTCTCTGAGGCAGTGAGGCTTTGTCTGTTCACCAGCCGTATCTTCTCCCTGGAATATCCTGTCACTACTGAAATGTCTCTCTGCTTCCAGGCCCTATGTCCCTCCTGTTTCCGGTCCCTCTCTGGTTAACCTAATGCTGGCTCCTCCTCCTCCCCATGATTCCCACTCTAGCTCCTGGCTATATGGGACCTCCTAAGTTCTGCCTGCCAGGGAGCCCCTACTCTGAGGACACCAGTGCAGAGTTGTGTGACAGAAACAGCGTGGTCTTTGGGGTTTGCTTTGATTTGGAATAGGACAATTTTATCTTTTTTTCCTGTTTTTATTCAGAATCAGGGGTGTCATGGATGCTCAAATGATGATAACACTTGGTATGAAACTTTAAATATGTCCATGCTGGGATGGGGGTGTAGCTTAATTGTAGACTGCTTGCCTAGCATGCTTGAGGTCATGGGTTATATCCCCAGCACTGCAAAAACAATTTTTTTAATGTCCATGCAGCGGGTATAGTTCAATGGTAGCCCACTTGCCTAGCATGCTTGAGGCCATAGGTTTAATCCCTGATACTGCAAATAAATAAATAGACCTATGCTGCTCACATGCCTTGGAATTCAATGAGCCTTAATGCTGGTATGGGTCTTTTTTTTTTTTTTTTTTGTACGGGGGATTGAACTCAGGAGCACATATCCACTGAGCCATATCCCCTGCCCTTTTTTGTATTTTATTTAAAGAGAGGGTCTCACTGAGTTGCTTAGTGCCTTGCTAAGTTACTGAGGCTGGCTTTGAAGTAGTGATCCTCCTGCCTCAGCCTCCCCAGCCACTGGGATTACAGGCATGCACCACTGTGCCTGGCTTAATATGGGTCTTTGGATCATGGACTCTACGTGGAATTCTGGGGCTTTAAGATAGGGCAGAGAAGGCCACTTGGGTGCCCCCAACCCATCCTGTATCAACCCTAGGCACCCAGGATACGTACTTTGAAAGTCCAGCTGCAGGGACATAACATCTTTGAAGAGGATGCCTTCCTGCTTGGCCAGCTGCCCAGCTTCCTCCCGTGGACCCTGCTCCCCCACAGCCACCTTGAGCATGTCGTCGTCTATCACTCTCGGCTCCATCGAGTTGTACATCCGGTTCATCTTTCCTAAAACACCACATTTCTCTTTCACAGACTGCCTTTTACTTGTTTGACGACAGAATATGGCTGAGGTCTCCTCTTTAGGGGTCAAAGGCCATCAGAGAAGCCATGAATACTTTGAGGGCTGCCAGTCACATCCCTCAGCTTGTTTGTACCGCAGAGATAACACATTTGCAGGAAGGTCACTCCAGGGTTTCCCAGCAGCCATCTGAGCCCTTCTGCAGGATTCATTTCTTGACCCCACAACCACAGCTGGGGCCTTACCTGGACTGATGTCTGCACTGGTCTCCTCAGTCTGTGGTTCTCAGCTTCCCTCAAGGCCATAGCCCCATATCAGGCCTCTGACTTTCCGTTCCCATCCTCATTCAAGTCTCTTAGTGCAAACCACTGACTGTGCTCCCTTGGCAGCCCCAGCCAGGTGAGCCAGCCTGCAACGCCCCTCCTCTGAGGAACTCATCCCACATAGGCAGTTGTGTGGGTGTTTCCCAGCCCCTATACACTGTCCGCCAAGGGAGTTGCTGACCCAAGCTGGCCACTCATGCTTTCCCCCTGAGAAGTGGGTGCTTTCCCCCTGAGAAGCAGGCAACTCCCTCAGGTTGGAAGTGCTTATTGGATCTGGCTGCTTGATTAGGGAGGAACTAGGGAGTCATGGGCTGGTCGGACACATGGTTAAGTCAAGAGAGTAAGCGGGGATGTGGTGGATGTACAGAGAGAAGCGGAGATGGGAAATTGCATAATCCACATGAAAAAGACAAAGGACAGATGCAGTCTGCCTTCTTCTTGCTAGCTTTTCAGTTCCTAATGTCCCTAAGTCTCAACCCCATGCAAGTTTCTATGTCCTTTTCTGTGAGCATTTCCTGATTTCCTGCATTAAATCCTCTTTAACTTAAGCCAACTCTGGTAGGTTTCTTTTTATAAAATTTTACACACACACACACACACACACACACACACATTTAGTTGTTGATGGACCTTTATTTTATTCATTTGTTTATATGCAGTGCTGAGAATTGAACCCAGTGCCTTACACATGCTAGGCAAGCACTCTACCACTGATCCCCAATCCCAGCCCTCTGGTAGTTTTCTGTTGCTAATGGTCCAAGGGTTTCTATGAGACACTGCAGGCAGAGGTGGGGGATCCGAGGATTTGGTTAGTCACATTATAAAGCTGACCTGGATTGCTATTCCTGGCTGGACAGAGCTATAGTCCTGGGAATCTGGGGTGCCCTGACCTCATTATCATCATTACCAGCCTCTTAGTGAGATCCACTAGTAGGACAGGGCCCTGCAGGAAGCTATGCCCTCTTTTAGACTACTAAGATTCTGCCTCTGAGCCCTCTGGAGGTTCAGTTCTCTCCTCCTCTCTGCTCCCACCTGCTTCTCACCTCCCTGGTGGCCTCACCTTCTACCTGTGCCTCCCCAACGTCCAAGGTATCCCTGAAACTCCTGCTCTCCCACCCTGATGCTAGGCAGCCCCTCTGCTCTGCTCCTGATATTAGGCTGATGATGTTCACCACAAACCCTGATTAGTTGGACAAATCTGCCACTTGGCCTTAGACGTTGCCTGCAAAGTCTCCCTTCCCTCTTTCTTCCCCTACCAGCTACTTGGATGCAGCTTGGGTAAGTGGAGTATCCTCCACTCCTGTAATGTCCCTGGTCAAATATCCTAATGCCTTCAACTCACGCACAGCCTTTTCTTCTTCCCTGGGGGTTGGGGGTGGTGGAGGTGGAGGAGACACAGACTCTATAGCCCCCACCCACACTCTGGTGTCTTCTCTATCTGACCTTCCAACCATCAACACATTGGCTTTTACTCTAACTCTCTCCACACTGGTTCTACCTCCTCAGGGTGATGATTCAACCCCCAGCGATGTTTCTAGCCCTTGTCTCTCCTCTCTCCCTTTCTAGCTTTCCACTCTTCTGAAATGGTTTTCAAATAACTTGCTAACAATTTTATTTTGGGAGATTTAAATGTACTGTGTTTGTAAATGTTACTTGCAAAGTATTTTAGGCTTTTTTTTTTTTTTAAAAAATGGATGATTTGCTTCAGGAAATAAACCATGATTCTGATGTCAAAACTTTGTGACTTCTAAGGCTGGGGTTGTAGCTCAGTGGTAGAGCGCTTGCCTAGCACATGTGAGGCACTCCGTCTGATCCTTAGCACCACATAAAAATAAATAAATAAAATAAAGGTATTGTGTCCATCTACAACTAAAAACATAAACAAACAAATAAACAAAAAAACCTCTTTGGGGGCTGGGGATGTGGCTCAAGCGATAGCGCGCTCGCCTGGCATGCGTGCGGCCCGGGTTCGATCCTCAGCACCACATACCAACAAAGATGTTGTGTCCGCCGAGAACTAAAAAAAAAAATATTAAAAAATTCTCTCTATCTCTCTCTCTCCTCTCTCACTCTCTCTTTAAAAAAAAATTCTCTCTCTCTCTCCTCTCTCACCTCTCACTCTCTCTTTAAAAAAAACAAAAAACAAACAACAAAAAAAACCTCTTTGACTTCTCATCCCTCTTACTTCATCAAGAGTTGATTCCTGAGACAAATCAAGCTTGCTTTCAATAAAGCCCAGAAACTGCTATGCAATGAGGGATTAAACTAACTAGAACACCAAGGGCAGGATTTGGATTCTGACTGTATCTCCTTTGGCAACTCATTTTACTGGCAGAAATCTTTGCTTTCCAATTCTGTCAAAAGTGGATAATTCCTCTCTCCTATGTTTTTGTAAGACTATGTGTTTAGTCCACCCATGTCTACTGAATAACTACTACCTGCCATGAATAACAGATCATCTTACTGCTGTTTTAGACATGAAACAAGTAATCATACAAATATTTAGTCATAAATCATGAAAAGTTTGTAGGTGTAGAGAACCACAAAAGCATACATTAAGGGAAACCCAGCCTAACCAAGAAAGGGCTGAGATCTGAAGGACCAATAGGAAAGAGGGGAGAGGGAACTGCATGGGGAGGGCCCTGAGATGGGAGAGAACAGGCATGCTCCACTTTGTCTGATATGATACAAGCTTGGAAAGTCCCGTAGGAGTTGTATTATTATCCTAAGGCCCTGAGAAAGCTCATAGGGCTTAATAAGGGCAGTGACATAATCAGATTTTAATTTTAAGGAGTTCATCCCTAGCAGAAGTACTGAGAATTGCAAAAGGAGTGAGGTCAGAGATGACCAGGGATAGTGCTAAAATGTGGATTTGAGACATTTCTAGTTAATTTATATGTAGGATTGATAATCCCCAGTTTCCAGAAAAGAAAACAAGCTAGTTAAGCTGGGTGTAGTGATGAATGCCTATAATCTCAACAACTCAGGAGGCTGAGGCAGGAGGATCACAAGTTTAAGGCCGGTCTGAGGAACTTAGTGAGAAACTGTCTTAAAATAAAAAGTGCTAAAAATGTAGTTCAGTGGTAGAGCATCCCTGGGTCAATCCCTAGTACTTCCCTAGAAACACAAAGAAAGAAAAGAACAGGAAAAAAGAAAAACAGAAGCTAGTTAGAAATGCCAATTAGTATGCCAAAGTTTATACGCCTAGAATATGGCAGAACCTATTTTCCTAATCATGGCTCCGCTGTACCCAGTTTACTAGGGATTATTATTACCACAATTCACTGTGTTTCTCCTAACTGCTCTGGGTCACAGACAAAGCCCAAACAGTCTTCCCCTATAGAGATTTTATCAGTAATTTACCACCAAACTGGGTTCCTGTTGAATTACCTAATGACAGTGTTGTTGGTGACCAAACAGGTAGCAGGTGGGGACGCAGCAGTTTTTACAAACCTGTCAATGAAGTGATTTCCTCACAGAGAAACGGATCCGGATTTTCCTGGGAAACAATAAAGTGGATGAATTAAATCTGAGGAGTAGAGACCTTATTTGCCATGAATTAATAAGAAGAAAACCAACCTCCTACTTAGTACTTAATGTGCATTCTGTGCACACAAATTATTTAATTACATGTCAGTTCCAGAAGTTATTAAAGAAGGGAGTCCTATAGTGCTCTTATTTCCCAGATAGGGAATCTGAAGCTCTGAGAGTGGGAGGAACTTGTCCAAACTCATACAACAAATTACTGACAGACATAGAATTTGAGTATCCATATTCCCAGTCCAAGCACTTTATACTGCACCAAATAAACTAACTTAATGAGATTTATGAGGTAGGATCCGATAGCTAAATTCTGGAAGAAATTATCAGTGGATCAGGGTGAAACAGTTAATCTGGGTTCTAATGAAACAGATTGGGCAGGAGGCTCGGGGATGGAATCCCTTAAAATCCCTTCTGACTCCTTGAAGAAGCACTCCCTTAGCAATTTCTCCTCTGAAGACCTGAAAAGTCCACGATTAAAGTATATTAGCTGTCTGGTAGAGAACATGTGTTCCTATTTTACAAATGAAAAGGGCCAAGCCGGAATCCTCAGAGAGAGGGGTCACAGTCGGCCGCTCTCGCCCCTGAGAGTCCTCATGGAGCCTCAATTCCCGGGTCTCACCTTCTCAAGCACCAGCTATCGGGCTAGTTCCCTGCAGCAGAGGCGTCTCTCGGTTGCTGGGGAAACAAGCGCCGCCACTCGGTTGCTAAGAGGAAGCAGGAGGTAGACATCCTGGGTGAAAGTTGACGGGTCACGTGATCACGTGTCTGGGTGGGAAATACTCCAAACACCAACCAGCCGTAGAGAAAACAAATGTCTCTCCAATCAGCACTACTGTGGGCGGGCAACTCCCTAGGTCCACCTCTTCCCCGCGTCTGTTTTGAGTGATTGACTCCTATTTTGTCCAATAACAGTAGGATTTTCCTAGATTGACCCATATACAGATGAATCAAAAAATACAGTCCCTGTTTCGGAGGCGGGCCAGGGGAGGTGCCGCTGCGCCTGACGGGGACTCCAATGACCTAGCTTGGTCCTCGACCCAATCAGACTCCATTTGGTGGGCGGGACTTCGTTGAGGGTGGAGTAAAGGCCAATCGGAGGGAAGACTGTGGAGGCGTTGTCCAATAGAGACGCGATAGGAGGGCGGGGCTAAAGGCCCGGCGCTCGGCGTTCTGGAGGGTGGGGCGGGGGCAAGTGTCAGTCAGGTTGGGAGCGCGGCTGGGGACAGCGGAGACCGAGGCGGCAAACAGGGCGTCAGCTGCCGTGTTGTCGGCCCAAGATGGAGTTCCTCCTGGGGAACCCGTTCAGCACCCCTGTGGGGCAATGTCTCGGTAAGGCTGCGCTTGCGGCGGACGGCTTGGGTGGGCGACTGACCGGGCTGGACCGCGGGCCTCTGCCGGCTCCTGTGGCACCTCACAGGTGGACCAAGCATCCCTGTGGTTGAATCTCTGCGGGGTGGCGATGCTTCCTCACGTGCAGGTTGGATCTCTTCCAGGAACCTGTGTCACCTCACGGGTGGACCCGGCATCCCTGTTGTCGGTCCTGTGCCTAGCGCTGGTGCCACCTCACGAGTGGGCCGTCCGTCCTTGTCGTCCAGCTTCTGTCTGGCGCCAGTGCCACCTTGCCAGTGGACTGGGTCTCATCTGGGCGCCGGTGTCACCTCATGGGCAGAGCAAGTGTCCGTCCTTCTCGTGGGGCCTCCACCTGGCACTGGTGCCACTTCACCGGGCCACCTTCCAGGAGGCCCCTGAGGCCCAACTTGGACCCAGAGACTCTCCCTGCCTCCCTACCATCAGAGCCTAGCCCTTCTTTCTTTCCTGACGTGGTACCAACTGCTGATCTGTTTACCTCTCACCTATTGGGAGATGCCACTGCCCGCACCCTTATCGAGCCCAGCATCTTGCTGTCCCCCGCCCGCACCGCCTGGTTCTCCCAGACCTCCTCTTTCCATATGTCTCCCTTCTCTTTGATACCTGCGGACTCAGATTGTGCACCCTTCCAGAAATTGTCCCCTGCTCTGAGACTTACTAATTGGAGCTGCAACTCTATTAGGATGTAGGAAGAACTGGTTGGGGGAGGGGTTCTTGGAGGATGATTATCTTTTAAGCGGGGTGGCATGGTGCCTCCCAGGAAAGAAGGGAGGCTGTGTTGTTTAATGATAAGAGCACTCCATTGGGAATCAGGAAACCGGCACTCAACTAGTGGCATTGCCAGTGATTCTTCCTATGACCCTGTGCCCTTTGTGGTTTGAAGTTCCCCTGTCAGGTGAAGTGTTTGGAGGTGAAATGTGGTAGGTCCCTTCGGATTTCAAAGTTTTGATATTTCTTGTAGTAATCTCTGCACATTGACTGTTGTTTCCCTTGCTATATTAATTTTTTCCAAGTGGAACCCTTTGTTGTCACTATACAAGAGAGTGATACTACTCTACAGTATCTGTCAATCCTGTAAGGGGGCTTTGGGGATCCAGTCAAGGGTACCAGAGTACATCCCGGATGGAGAAAGCACAAAGAGTAGGTGAAGGAACCCTAAAGTGGCCACACTATGGGATTTTCTTACAAAAAACAAAAGCAGCTTGCCTCCTGGGGATGTCCTTCAGCAGTAGAATGTGTGCTTAGCCCTCGGTTCCATCCCCAGCATGGCAAAAATAAGAGTAATAATAATAAATAAAATTAAAAACAACTTGTGCCTTTTCACTCAAGGCAGGAGATTATGCCAAGTGATCATTCAAGAATGCTGATTAGTTTCTTTTAAAATAAGGTTCCACCCAGTTGGTTGAAGGACTGGTAAAACATCTTTTATGAACAGGGACCTTTGGTGTCCATATGAGCCTGACTGGTTTAGGCAGTAGTGATTTGTTTATTTCCTGCTTTATGAATTTCCAGCTTACTTTCTATCCTTTACTAACTCTTCTGTTAGCTATTTGGCATTTAGGAGCTTTTCTTTCCTTTCTGATAAAGTATCTTTTATGAAGAATTGCGGACACTGGGCCTTGAAAGAGCTGTTTCCCACAATTCCAACACTTTGTCCCAGCTGCCCACTTGAATGTCTCTCTGGATTTTCACTCCTTTCTTCTTCCTCTTTTACTTTCCTACTTTCCTCAGGTGTTCTTTCACTACATCCATATTCCCAAGATTCATTTCTCATTTGGGTGTTGAATTCTAGCTAGTTATGGAGGGAACCAGTAAACTTGGGGGAATTTTTTTTCTTTTCTTCTCTCTTATAAGAGGAAGTTCTACAAATGCCAAGGTGGTTATGAAAAGTAGCATGTATATGAGAGGAAGAAATTAAAAGGGACTTTTAATTAAAACTTTTTGTGATGCTGGAGACTGAACTGGGATCTTCAGCATGCTAAGCAAGTACTCTGTTACTGAGTTATATCCTATCCCAAAGAGGATTTTGAAATATAAGTATAAAGGGGCTGGGGTTGTGGCGCAGTGGTAGAGCGCTTGCCTAGTACATGCGAGGCCCTGGGTTCATTCGTCAGCACCACATAAAAATAAATAAATAAAATAAAGGTATTTTGTCAAACTACAACTAAAAAATAAATATTAAAAAAATACAAGTATAGAGGATATAGGATATGTAGTGAGTGAAAAGAGCATGATACTTCTATGAGGAAGATCTGAGTTAAATTTTAGCTTTTCTCAGCTGTGTGACCCCAGAAATTGTGTAACCCTGCTGAGTCTAGTTTATCTATCTGCTGGGGAGGGGGGAGCAGGGGAGAGGGATATTTGTACTCACAGAGTAGGGTAATTTATTTTTTAAATTTTTAAAAATTTTTAATTTTTTCCACATTTTTATTGGTTCATTATAGTTATACATAATGATGGAATCTGTTGTTATGTATTCATACAGGCATACAATAGTATAACAATATAATTTCGTCAATCTCAGTCCCTAGCATTTCCTCTAGAATAGTACAATTTGAACGAGATGATGTCTAGAAAACTTTAGCATTGTATCTGGAACATAATAAATGCTCAATAAATCACAGTTTTCTCTGTTAACAATAGAATGAGTCAGGACTGAATTTTTTTCCAGGAGAGGGTATGTGATACAACTGACCCATTGGTGATGTGTGAAGAAAAATACCCTTCCAGTGTTCACCATTGTTTATAAGACATTTGAATGAAGATGATGAAAATTTACTGTTGTCAGGTAGCCAGTAGGCAAGGTCTCAGTCATTTCAGTTCGATTCCAATAAATTATTAGCCCACAGAATGAAGTTCTGATGTATGTTCTGTACTGTTGTGACTAGGTGTAAAAATGATTTTCTTGACATTTAGTATTGTTAGTATTTTTTTAAAAAGTGTGTGCCAGGAAATGGGTAGGAGGGAAAGGAATATAGAAATAAAATAACAACAAAGCCAATGAGAAAAATAATTATAGCTATAGCTTGCACAAAGCAATTCTGCAGCCATCATTTGCTCCTTTTAGATGTTCTATGGATAAGTTTTATCGTCTTTCCCACTTTAGAGTTGAGGAAACTGAGGCTCTGAGAGATGAAATGACTGCTTGGCTGGTAAGAGAGCTGGGATGTCATACATGGCCCTGTTATCAAGGGATTTACAGTTTCAGACAAGAAAACAGACGCATGGAATGATGATGTAGTACAGATTATAAGTGCTGTAGGAGTTCAGAAGATTTCAGATGAGAGCCGGGCATGGTGGTGCATGCCTGTAACCCCAGCTACTTGGGAGGCTGAGGTAGGAGGATTACAAGTTTGAGGCCAGCCAAGTCAACTTGAAGAGATCTGTCTCAAAATAAAAAATAAAAATAGGACTGGAGATGTAGCTCAGTGGTAGAGGGTCCTTGTGTTCAATCTCCAGTACTGAAAAGAAAAAAGTGGAATTCATATGAGACTGGGGTGACAGGGACTGGTTCCTTTGGGGGCTGTTTGTGAAGGATAGGCAAGAACTTTGAAGGCTGAGAAGAGAATCCCCTGGGCCTGGGGGCAGTTAAATAGAATGAGAAAGAAAGGAAAAGTAGGGGCACATCTAGGATCACCAGTCTGAGTGGAGCAGAGGTGGCTGTTGGTAATATTGGCAAGTAGGGTTTGAGTGACAGGATGAAGCTCTGCTTTGGATGGGCCACATAAAGATGACATTCTTTTATTTGCTGCAACTTTGACTATGTGGACCTTGTTTTCTCCACGCATAAAATAATACTTCTCATGAGCTGCCTCAGATTTGTACCTAAATAATTCTTCTATATAGTTCAGTAGGTATTCATGAGTACTTGTTGGGTGCCAAGGCCTGTGCTAGACGCTGGGGATGCAAATGTTAAAAAGCAGCTCCTTGGGAACCTTGAATAGAAGAAGTACCGTGACCATTGAAGGGTCCTGGGGCAGAGTAGTTGGTGAAGTGATTATGACTGTCTCATGCCTGAGCTTCACATGGGGGTTCTAATTTGGTGCTGTAAAGTCAAATACATAGCCTGCACATCTGAAGCTAGCCATCTAGACCACAGTCTGACATAGTTATTTGTGCATTTATTTTTCTTCTTTTTTTTTTTTCCCAATGCTGGGTATCAAACCCAGTGCCTCATGCATACTAGGCATGTGTGTATTTCTTGCATCCATCCTGGAATTTGTTCTGGAAGGTGATTCATGAGTAGAATTCATGGTTCAGAGAGAGAGAGAGAGAGAGAGAGAGAGAGAGAGAATATGTGAATGAACGAGAATACAATGGTGTTAAAGGCTAAGAAGAGTGGAAGAAAAGAAATTACTTAAGCCAGGTATGGTGGTGCATGCTGTAATCCTAGCTACTCAGAATGCTGAGACAGGAGGATCACAATATTTAGGCCGCTCTGGGTAACTTAGCAAGATCTGTCTCAAAATAGAAGTTTTAAAAAGAGGACTGGGGATATAGCTCATCAGTAGAGCTCTTGCCTGATATGCATGAGCCCCTGGGTTCAATTCCCAGCACTACAAAAACAAACCAACAAACAAAGTACTTACTTTTATTTCTTGATTTTGTACTTCCCGAACAAGTTTCAAAATGTTACTGTCTAATCTCAACCTTCCACCACCACATCACAGATCAGGAGTTCCCCAAGTTAGGTCCAGGGTACTGCACAGAAGTCTGCTGCTTTCCTTGTGATGACTAGGAAAAAAATTTCAGATATTCCTTTTCCAAGAGGAAAAAAATGAGATTCATTTGGATTCAGAAGTCAGTGAGTATTTAGTTAATATTAGGGGAGATGGGTCATTTCTCTTCTTAGTTCTGCTTTATCAACATTTAAGAAGCAGATAATCTGTTGCAAAGTTTGTATTTGGAGATTGAATGGTGTTAGACATAAACTACTTCATAATACTCTGAGAATGCTGAGT